CCCCCCCGGCTCAAGTCAAGCAAATCACAAATTCCAGGCTAAAGCCACAATTTCATGACTTTGCAAATACAATTTCAAACAGAAACAAGAATTAACTCAAAATACTAAGCCACCAAATGTAAACAATTTGGACCAAAACAAAGCTTAGTTGTCTTAATCACAGTCCAAAAGTCTTCCATTACAATTTGTTTTTATTAGGGTAGAAAAAGCACTGTACTTTTCACTTGGGTAATTTGCTTCAGTCCATTTCCAGCCCCAGCCTGCCAGTCTAATAACTTCCACAGCAAATGGTCAAATACTTTGTAACAAGTAGGAAAGCATCATAGTATGAAGTAACTGGCATAGATACTACAAGACAGATAATAACTTTTCAGCTTTTAAGAAAATTTAGGACCTGCCTATTTGAAAGAATACTTTCATTTGGACAATTTTGTTCACAAGGTTTATAAAAGACACGTTAGGAAAACATGACTTTCCCCTCACTCTCCTGATCAGAACCACTGAGGCATTCACTACCAGAACAATGCAACAACACAACTATATAAGAAACAGAAACCTACACCAACCCTATAAAAAGGCAGCCATTGTTTGCTTTTCCTCATCCCACAATATCTTCAGGAGTAGGTTACGTGTTTTAAATATTTAAAGCAAGCAGCATCTTCATAGTAACAATATTTTAAAAAACAGAAGATGAGCACTACAAAGTAAAGCAATTAAAATAGCCCCCAGAAGAGTCAATTTCAAAGTTTCAAAAACAAAAGAGTGACTTGGCACACAGCACTAAGGTCATGGGTCTGAATTTCGCTGAAGATCAATGAACTTTCTGAATTAACGGGGCATTGTATGGTAATGGGTTTGCTAGCCTCACTGAGAAAATTTAAATAAAGGACAGGACAAGTCATGGGAGTAAGTTCTCATGTAGAACAGGAGAGTCTAAATCCTTATAAACAAGTGTAAGATTAATTAGAATAGCTCATTTCCAAAGCACTGATCAAGTTGCCTTTGCTGAAATCACAACCAGATCAAACACAAAGTTACTATCTACTCAGAACATTCATGATGGCAGAAGGAGAGGAGGAACTCAGCAAGTAACTACCAAAGCTTATACACTAAAAGGCCAACATCACATCACACCACGACACAAAACAACTGGCTCCCTCAGCACATAACATTCCGCTGCACGGGGATTTACACTGAAGGTCACAGGCAAGGATGTTTTGTGCTGCTAGAATTAAAGCAGACACTGAATTTCTAAACTTTTTCAGCAACAAATGCCTAATTTAAATATGAGCTATAATAGGAAGAAGTTCTGCATAACACTATTTTAACGGATAAAGAATGGTGTAATACAGAAAACTATCTGCCATCCAATCAAATAGATAATTCTCCTGTGCCTACCTCTGCCCAGATTAAGTATACTTTTGATGGACATGGCCAATCACAGAATTAACAATTAATATTTGCTTTGATGCAATAAACAGTAAGTGCTTACTCTGTTGACGTGACAAGTATCAAATCCAAATCAGTAATACATAATCAGTAACTCCCCAATTACGTAAGAACTATTTAAGAATATTTCATCAAATGCCCAAAAACCTACAGACAAGATATGGCTAAAGAGTTTCTACTTCACTCAGAATGTGAAAACAACTAAAAATACATCCCACATAATTAAAACTTAAGTATTTTTTTTAAAAAAATCAATTATTACTTAGATTAAAAGCTCACAACTACAGGAGCTTCACCAAAGCGGGAGGGGGCAGGGGGCAGAGAGGGGGCTGGCAGAGGGAAAAATCTGTAGAAACCGCATAGCCTGAAATGTTTTTATCATCTTCTTTAAGTGACCCCAGAAATGACACTTAGTAATTAAGCAGGGCAGAACGGGCAGTGCAGTTAAAAAAACCTACACACAGTGTTACATTTCTGCTATTTACTTTGGGGGAAAATCTTCAAGTGACACTAGTGTAAAACATTCCACTTATTAGCAACAGTTAAATGTCTAGATTGTTTCCCAGTGTATTTCATTACTCTGAAGCGATTAGACCTAAATACCCTTTGTCAGTTTTAAAGAGCCAAGCAAGAAGCATACAGGAAAACTGACTGTCAGGAGGTCCTGAAACAGAGAAGCTCCAGAATTCTACAAGAAATTTCGCAAGCTGCCAAGATTTTAGAAGAGTACTCCAGAGAACCTGGATAATTAAAGGTCTTAAACATCATCAATTGCAGGTAAAACAAATGAACAGCTGACATAGGTCAAGCGAGATGGATTTATCAAGATGACAGATTTATTTTTTAATTAAGATTAGAAGTTTGTTTTGTAAAGCTGTATGCTGAATATAACATACCTACACCTCTCTAAGATGAGTGACATTACCAAAGGCACCAATGAATAAGAAGTGTAAGCAAGACACGTCACAAACAATGACATTGAAACCTTTCCCATAAGTAATTTATTATCATTGAACAAACATGTTAACAAAAGCCAGCAGTTCTTAAAAGAAGTTATTATAGAAAAAAATATCAAACCTTGCCAACAGTATAAGAGTATGAACAAAGGTATTTCCCTCATAAACTACTCACTCCCAAACTAATAGCACAATACTTTTAAAGAGTTATGCATTTAGAAATAAATAACATTATTGGATGGGAGGGGACTATTCACAAAAGTAGCAAAAAAATGAAAAAGGACTTGGGATTTCACAATGAATAATCAACAAAGCAAGTTCCTACCATGATGCTGTGACCAGCAACTACAACTATTAGGTCATTATCAAGATCTACGTAAACACAGAAAACAAAAACTTCATATAGGATACTTCATCTCAGGAAGATACTACAAGCACCAGCAACTGGAAGTTAGACTTTCAGCTGGAAAGCCTAACCCAGAAGTTAGACAAGGCTGGAAAGCCTAACCCAGAAGTTAGACTTTACTTTTGTCAGTGATCGTAAATCATCACTGGAATACTATGGCACATTCTCTACCAATGGAAATTTTTTTCAGAAGTAAGGAATGCTTTCAAACGAGATACTCAAGTTTCACCAAGACACCTGTGAACCAATCCTTGAAGTTTGCATTATGCAAGAAACCAGACAAGATGACAAGGATACCCTTTAGCTTCATAGTCTCTAGAAAGCTGCCAAACAGTAGAATAACCTCTAAGCCCAACAAGAGTAACACCTTCACAAAAACAATGTTCTCCTTCACACTCACCCAAATGCTGCAGATATTGCACTGTCCTCTCATGACCCTTCAAAGGTGAGTTGGCTTTCTTTGACTGATCCACCAGTACCTGTAATGCTTTTAGAACAAAAAGGTTCATTCCTTTGTAACCACAAGTATGATGCCAACTTGAGCTACAAAAAAGTGCATTTTTCCTGTTCTGCTACTGGAGACAAAACAAAGTTCTGTTTTAAACACACAGACTAAACAGGTAACAGGAACAAAGACCAATTTAATCACCAGACAGACACAGAAACAATGTCTCTTTGGACTATTGCCTGCTCACTGAAGACAAGTTAAATCTCTATACTAGGAATACACGCTCCTATCCCTTTTCCTCTCCCCACCCCAACCGCATACCTACCTTTCTCATGCAGACCCTTCTTCTCATACAGTATTATCAGCTCACTGTATTTGTGTGCCTTCTTTAGTACATGCTCACTCTCCTCAATATGGCAGTGATTGTTCTCCAGACGTAGTAGTGGTGCCACCAGTGCTACATTTGTCTGCAAGTAAAAAGGGAGCACTTAAACATACTTCTAATGTGCACCTCCTAAGCTTATAGTACAAAACGAACTGGACAAAAAAACAACAAAAAACACCCAGAAAAGCCTTATAGCATAAGAAAGAACAATTTAACGTCTTAGGGCAAGGCCTATCTTTATTACCGTAATTTGTTGGGACAAAAAGAAAACAATGTATCAGAGCCACTCCCCTCCAAAAACAGAGGCCAGCTTTGAAAAACATTGTCACCAGCAAAGATCTTACCCTCCTGCATTTAACAGTACAAGGCAGCATGAGAAGCATTCATTAGAACTTCAAAATACACAGGCACGGTCAAGTTCTTTTGACTGAGGCAGTGATCAGAAACGCACACATCTGCTTTATTCCATGAAACTACTTCCTGACCAGTAAGCAAACTAGCTAACACTAACGTTTCATAGATCATTTTTAGCCCACAGACAGTTGTGTGAGAATTTCTGAAGCAGCGCCATTTACTCCTTAAACGGTTCAGCCTGAAATTCCAACAGAGTGCGCATGGTAAAGGAAAGGCCTCTAGGTCAGGCAGAAACTCACATGCAGGTAACACTTTAACAGGGTGGTATCAATGATTTGTAGCAGCTTCTTTTTGGATTTGATTGTGGGTGTTCCTTCCATGAGGGGTGAGGTACTGGACTGATGGTCTGAATCATTTAGCTTCTTCACCAGCTGACTTCTTTTCTGCAGGACATCAAATGAAATTTTAACAGGAAAAGACCATGGATTTCTCCATCCCTCCTCAGCAAATATAATATACCAAGTAAAAAGACTAAATTAAACCAATTTAATAACTTGTTTTAATCAACTGTCTCCCAAAGACTTTTTATTTTTAATAACTATTCAACACATCACCTGTCTGACCACATTCAGGTGTATACATTTGTTTTGCAAGTTTATTTTCTCAAGATTTTGGACATCTTGCAAAACTATAGTCAGAGGGAAACTCTGTTAACCTGAACAGAGACATTTTAGAGAAGTCAGGAGATATTCAGAAAACAGCTTAGGTTTTGAACTACTGGGAACAAAAACTATCCTCCTTCAGACACAAGCTTCCTTTTAGTCTAGTATGAATGGCAACAGAACGATTCAGATTCCAGTTACAACAAAATAAAGAGAACAAGTTACAGTACCCACTACCTCCTGTTCCACCTTTTAATGCATGCTTTTGACCCGTGTCCTGGATAGTGTGCCCTCCACGATAGTCACCAAACAAAAACAAAAGATCAAGAGCTCAAGCCCTCTTCAGAAGGCTACTAGAAATAAAATATTGTACTCATATTCAGACCTGGTACATAAGTAAATTTTGTCCAGTCCTTGCAAAAGAAAAAAAAAAAAATCACATGTGATGTCTCCCACATATCTGTGGGGCACCTCACATCTTCCAGTTCCCCTGCTTTCTCAGGAGCTACTGCCATAGTCTCCAACCATGAAGACAGCCCATTAAGGCTAGCATGACAGAGCTGGAGTAGGCATACTGCTTCCTGCACAAAGTTAACCAACAAAGTATGCTAAAACTGAATAACCCTGCTCTAAAAAAACCAGATATAGCAGCACTCACTTGAGTTAGGTAGTCTATCAGAGCTAAATGTGCCTTCTCCAGCTCTGCACCAGAGAGCCCTGGCAGGGGGTTGGGATACTGTAGCTGTTTCCTGTAATCTGTGGGCAGGAGGTCAGGATACAGACCCATCACGTGAGTGGGATCTAAGCAAAAAATAACTAGCATTAGTAACCATTCATAACATTATTTTTGCAAACTCTTAAATGTATGCAACCTTTGAGCAAGCTTATCTTTCCAACAGAGCTGTTTCTAGTCAACTTGTATATCCACAAGGTTCCAGATAACACAATTTGCTTATTAAAGAAAAGAAGCTAAAACAAGGCAAAAGCAGCAAGAGAAAGACTGTTTCAAAGTCCAAGCACAATAAGTTCCTATCTGTGTGCTTGGCACACCTGGAGGACAAGCCGCTATCATAAGCCTCTTAATGCTGTGATTCTGCAAGAAGAGCAGTAACAACTCTGACAACATGAGAGGATTTCTAGGAAAAAGCAATGTTTTCAGAGAAAATTTACTGTGTTTTTGAAACAAAAACTGAGCAGCACCATCTCTAACTAATGAGCACCCATTCTCATGGAGTTTAAGAAAATTCAAAATTAATGCCCTCTAATTTAAGTTCAAAGTATTTTGAGTTCTCAGTCCTTTTCTTTCATTGTAGTTGTCCAAAGTAAATACGATGTTGAGTGTCAACAAAACAAGTAAAAGTTCTATGTTTAAATGTACAAGGGATGTGCGGTCACCAATAAAAGAATCTCAGTCTTAAGCACTATTCTATGGTACAGTCCAGTCTTCAGGTGTTCTTCCAATAATCCTAGTACAAACCAGAGAAACAGCATCAGATACTATGTTGATGTCCAAAACCACAAAAAAGTTTCCTGGCTTCAAACCGCCTGGTCCATTAAGCCGGAAACAGGGTTAAGACTCCTCGATTTGGTCCAAGTCCAACGATTTAGCAAATCTACAGATGCTCCTTATTTCTCATTCCAAGCTACAAGTGGGCTTTTGGCAGCTGCTGAAACCCTCAACTGCAAGGGTCTGTGTACATTGTATGCACGCTGTAAAATAGCCTACAATACAAACCTACAAAGGGCAAATTCACAATTTAACTCACTAACTGGAGTTAATTAAGTACTATAACCAGTTTCACAAAAGAAAGCTAAGTAGCTGACTAGGCTATTTGCCATTCAGAGGGGACCAGTCTGCACAATACAACACTTTTTTAAAACAAAAACACAACAGAAAAACAAAAAAGCCGACACAATAGTCTGTGAGCTTCATTTCATTCCTCCTAACCTAAGTATCTCAATGCCAACTCAAACATTTACCTGTACCAAGCTTGGCAAAAACTTGCATGGATTCATCAAAGCGCTTCTGGCAGAAGAGGTTGAAGGCAAAGAGGTTCTTTATGTGGTGAATTTGTTGTCGCTTCTCACTATCTGAATCATCTTTCATTTCCTGCACACATACAAATTAACCGACATGAAAAACTCTTGGGCCTCGTAAACAAGAAAGACCCACTCTATAGAAGTAACAGGAGTATTATCCTTTGGAGAGATTAAGAAGAAAAATTATAATCTTCCAAAGTGAACATCTCTGAGTGCGATTCTCCGATACTGTGCTTACTGTGTCACTGAGAACCTGCAAGGTTTGAAAACTACCTCTGGTTATCTATATACTCGCTCTATTACAGCAACTGTGTCTTCATTCATTTGCCTTTTCAAAATTTTTTCTCAAGTTAGTAATACAAAATGCAATTAATTCATTTTAATGTAGTTCTAGGGAAGTTTCTGGAAATCAGAAAATCAAGAGCAACATAACTAAACGTAATGCTTTAGCATCTCTAAGAAATTATTGTTTCAGGAGTAATATGGAGGGCCGTTACAAAAAAGGCCACTTGACAGAACAACCCACACAACTCCAAGCAAAACTGTTTATAAGCAGTCTGAAGACTTTGAAGTCCAAATGACTTCAAGTCTGTAAGAAGGTAACTGATTAAACAGCTAAGAGAGATAATCTTTCACATACAAAATGGTACATCAAAATCTAAACCACAATAGATCAATATGGAGAAGTGGCAGCACAAAACTAAACCAGAGTTTACCAGTTTGTGCAAAGTGGACAGTACAGAGGTAAAAGTCTCCAGACTAGCTACAGTCAAGCAGAATGCAAACATCCTTCTGTGTACTTCTGCACAAGTGCATCTGCTGCAAACCCAAAGGTTTTTGAGTACTTACTGCCAACTGCAAAGCCAACTCAAACTGCTTGTCCTGCAGAAGCTGCTGGATCTGTGTGGCTATGGAGACTGGAATAAGCCGCCACACGAAGTGATTACTTGCCACATATATAATATTTGTGCTGTAAACAAGACAAAAAGGTCAGTTACTAAGTTCCAGCGCTGAGAAAGAAGCAATACCCTATCTGAAAAAAAAAAAACAAAACAAACCAACCAATCTTGGTTAATACACACGTGGATCAATGAGAGATAAGGGGTAACTTGAGCAGTACTACAAAACAGAAAGGAGAAAAATACATCTCCAGTGATCAGAAATTCCCAAAGGCACTCAACTTTGTCATTTACTCCTCAAGGTATGGCCTCCACCCATCTTTTCATAAAAAACAGACTGCTTCAATGCTACTTCTTAAGCCGAGGGAGTTAGAAAAGCTTTTACTCTTCCAGTTTCTCAGAGTGCTACCATACACCCAGACAGCCCAACAAAAGTAATAATCAGTTATACTCAATACCCTCCAGAAGTGATGAAGCGTGGTCTCTGCAGCTCAATACTCTGTACCAGCAGCCGGGGTTCAAAAGTGCGGATCTCCACATACCTTGGCAGAACAGCAATGATGTAGGGAGGCTGGTGTTCTATTAATGAAAGGTGAAAAATATAAGCTGATTGTTCTCAAGTATTCCTTGAAACAAGCCATGACTTTAAGTAAAGCTTCTCTTCAACTTCCTCCCCCCCCACCATCCCCCCCAAAATGTGTCCCTTTTTTGCTTATTAAAAACAAAACTTAATGCCCAACACTGACAGCAATTTGGTAATAGACTATTACCAGGCTTTTTGTTCATCTTTCAACATAAGAAATTTCTGTGGCACTCAGATGCCCAGAACTACAGTGCTTTAACACACCACTTTCCATTTCAAATCTTGTCCCTTTATAAAAGATACACAATATGCCTGTTTTTCTGAGGAGGAGATAGGCATACAAACTACAAGCAAAGAAGGGGAAGAAACAAAAATAAACACATGAAACCTTCCGCGGAGTACAACTTGAAATACTTTAGAAACTGTCTCACTCCAAATCCAGCTAGTTTCTAAATACCGTGACCCTAACAATTCTGTCATATAAAAAGGAGCAAAGAAGCAAATTTAAAAAAAAAATTACTGCTAATTCTCACCCATGGCTATAGGAATATCTGTCCAATTCAAGGCACATTTCTGAGTACAGATCCCTTCTTCGTTGAGCACAACGGTTAGATCATCTTGGCCAACTGCAACTTTCCCATCTGCTACAGGAGCTACCAATGGTTCCAGCTGCTTCCCTGTGGGAAACAGTTCTTTGATGGATCCTTTTCCATCCACCTAGGATAATAAAGAAAATAAAAACCATGTTGTTCAAAACAACCTTTATTTCAAAGCTGTATAAAACCAAAGTCAAAACCCCCCTAGAGGGATTTACAACCCAGAATAATCCCTTACAGGACATGCACAGTTTTAAAGAGTAGCAATAAAATTTTCTGCATATCATCATTTATCTCGCTTATACATCATTTGGAAATACAGAATTAATACTTTTGTGCCTGAGAAAATGTACTCTTGTTAGTGTAACAGTAGCTGAGCACATAGTTCATATAGATTTATAAAATGCATCACACAGTAGCAACATCAGTTAAAGTGTCCAAACACTTCTTGGTGTAACCAGAGGATTTTGTTTAGGTCAAAACTTCAACAAGGTTTTATTCTCACATGAATAACTGTTGTCACATAAAAAAAGCAAACTAAAAGCCTAGCAACCTGCCTGGCCTTTTCCCCCCTGCCCTTGCCACTCATTCTTGTGGCCACATGCTGTCCAGGGAACCGAACCCACTCCAAAAAAATTAAAAAAGAAAAAATCCAAAAAGCTGCTCCATGAGCCGATCTAACAACTCATTGCCACCAAAATAAAGAATCCTTCTCCTTCAACTCCAGCTATATGTTCCTGCTGCTTCCCTTGCATTACAGCTCAAGCATTCTTACAAATCAACAGCTAGCCAGCAGAAAACAATATCATAAAAACATGTGTATTTTTCCTATTTAATTAAATGAGGTCATTCAAGGATGGGTCAGTCAAGCACCAGAGCCAACCCAAAGCAGACACCCGGACAGCAAGTCTCCACTCTGGTTGCTTGAGCAGCTGCACAACTACTCGTATCAGTAGAATGGTGGGAATCAACACCTAGGACAGAGATGCAGAAAGGCATCACTTCTGTGAGTAATTTTTAGTCACTTCAAACCAATACTAGTGTGCAGTTTTCCTGTCGACTACAGATCAGTGTTGCCAACCATGTACGTACACCTACATATGCGTGGTGCATCTCATCTTCATCTCATTTTCCTATAATATCAGCAGAAGTCAATTGTAAAGGTAGAAAAGAGAATCAAATACAGCTGTCAAATGAAATGTAAGTGGAAACTGTAATATTAAGTTAACAACACTAAGTTTAGAGACTTTGAAACCGAAACAATTACAATTCAGCAAGAGAATCAAAAAAAGCAAAAATGGTTAAGCTCCATTGTCTGTCACATAAGAAGATATTCTGGGTCTTTTTGCACTTTTAGAGCCATCTCCTTTCTTAATATATTAAATAAAATGCAAACTGCACTTATGCAGACTGCTGCCAAACCAAAAATATATCTTTTCCAATGCCTTCTTTCTGCAAGAGCTTCAACAGCAATATTATTGCTGGTTTCAACAGCAATAAACAGAAGATCACTTCCTGACAAAACATCAGTTTGAAAGGACAGATTTAGACTGCCCTTTCCAAACCACATAGAGCAAGACTTCCAGATACTGTTTTTCATAATTTTCTGTTAGCTAAAACCCTGGGCACAGGAGCAGCCTCCATAGTGTCTACAGGTATCCAAGTCTTCTGTGACACTGTATTCCAAATGTCAGTCTTACCCGTATCAGGTAATAGTCCCTCTTGAAGCCTACACAGATGGAGTTTTCACACCAGGCCATAGACTTGGGTACATCAGGTACACTGAAGTCCCCCTGAGGAAAACAGGTTGAAATGACTGTTACAAGAACAAAGCAAGAATCAAACTTGTTACACTCTGTGCAACATGAAGCAGTGTTGTTGACACTGTATTCCCCACCACATATGTCCAACTTCTACTTGTCAAGGAATGGCGCTATTCAACTAAAAGGCCAGATTCATGCACAGTAAAGAGGTGTGCCCAGAGTTAGCTGGTAATTTCCTAGGAGAGCAGTGTCGCTGAAAAATTCTCTACCCATTTTCACTGGTTATTTTTATCATTCTGGTATTCACAAGTGCAATTCTCTATGCTTGTTGTCAGTAACTACCTTCTGACTTAATGACATACCTGGAAAACTTGGAGCAGAAGTGGACCCACGTCCACAGTGTTATTGCTAGGTATACATTTATAGAGGCCGCACACTAGTACATTTCACTGACTTACAACTGTACAACCAGAATGTTAAAATAGAACACAGCCTTTGATTTAATTTATGAAACTGTTAACGCCATTACTTTTGCTTTCAACTGTGTATTTTCGCTTTTATTTACTACTTCATTGTTAAATTGCTGCAGAACAAACTGGAGTCAATGCTCTAAAAGTCAGAAGCGCCTCTGAGTAATAGGGACTGCATCGCAAGCAGTAAAGAGCAACTACACTCCCTGTTGACACATGCTAGACTACAGAAACAACACAACTCACCTGTAGTTCATGGAATTCTCTGTCCTTCCAAAAATAAAGCTGTAGCTTTTTCCGCACTGCCACACACATTCTCAGCACCTCTTCCCCTGTATCTGACTGCTGTGAAAACAGACAGGCCTAACTCATAGGCTCTCATAAACTAAGAGGCAAGTAAGATAATACAAGGCCAAAATAATCCTCAGCCTGAAGCAAAGCTGTCAGCTGAAGAGTAGCTTTGTTCATCGATGCCAGAAAGGCATTCCCTAAACAAAGAAGCACAGAGAAAAGGGAGCAAGGGATACTTAAAAATGAACTTTGACAGGGATTGTGACACCAAGGAAATACCGGGGAAAAAAAAAAAAAGCATCAAAGACACACACACACAAACAGAAGATAAGTAGAGAGCTATCAGCCCAGCCCTGAAGATTAGGATAAATAGCTTGGAACTCTACGCAGTATAGGAGGAGGGAGGAAACGGAACAATGCAAAGAATTGGAACAATGCAATACTGACAGATAAAAACATTAATAACCATTTAATATTCTAGCCTATTGGAAAAGTTTCACGACAAAAAACACTAGAAAAGCTAAGTGCCTGTACACACAAACAACAAGGCACTTTGGAATGACCACATGTAAAGGTGCTTTGAAAGACATCACTAGTTTTAACACTTAGAAAAACTTAAGTACTTATTAGAACATATTTAACACTAAGCTCCAACGGGGTAAAGAGCTAAAAAGTGATGAAGAGCACTAAGTTATCTCTTCTGGTTATGAGTAAAGTTTCTGAATGACATGGTTAGGCTAAGAAACTCACTTGGATAGAAACGAGTCACCTAATAAACCACAGCATATGGACAGAGAATGGCTATACCTGATGGAAACATTTTATGGCCTGAATCTACCACAACTACCCTGAGACTCCTTGGGCTAATAAAGTTTAACATAAACAAAAATGTAGTAAAAACAGTGACGGATGCTTGGTGAAGGGAACCACTATGACCTAGTACAATGGCAATTTAAGGGAAGGGAATGGCTTTTATATTGGAAGAGGACCTTTCAAAAAAGAAGCCAGCCAAAGATACTACAGGATGCAAATGCCTTGAAGCTTTGTATTAGGAGATTAAAGGCTACAATCACAACAGGCACAGGAAGATATCTTATGAAGTTCAGGAAGAAAATTAAAATGACTACATTAAAAATTGTTGCCTTAAGCAAAGCTTCAACATCCAGTATGTACTAATTTACCAATTTAAAAAGCACTAGTACCCAGATAACTTGCATGTAACACAATTAACAAACCTAATCTATACAGCAACATAAAAGTTATCTTTATTACAAAGAGTAAGGACATTTGTGTCATTGTGTTCCTCCTCTTACCTGAAGATCACAAGTGAAGAGAGATGCACCTTTTGCCTTGGAAACCGTGGTGATTTGTTGAAATGTCAACAGGTCATGGACATAAATATTATTTTCTGTTTTAAACAAAATTCCAATTATTATTCAATATTTAATACATGTAGAGCTCATTGCTAGTTCAAATAAGTTATCACATTTTATGTTTACATAAAAAGAAGAACTTGTGAAACTAAGAGCTGCAAGAAAGGAAAAGGAATGTTTTCCCAAAAGCTGAAAAGTGCTAAGGCACATACAAATACAAGACAATAAATGCAGAAAAGACGATTAACACCAGCACTGGGAAAATTACATGACAGAACTGAGAACAAGTGCTAACCAAGCAGAGGAAGTAGGAGTGGAAGGCCAGAGCAGAGCAAGTTCATGATGGAAGATTGTGTGAACAAAGACCATTTTGAACTGGCTCCTGAAATTAGAAAGTGAATGGTTGCAAATGGAAGGTACTGTGCTCAAGTTTTTGTACGCACGAGGACGCAGGCAGCAGAAATCTATGCATGCTGGAGTCGGAAGAGCCGGGACTTGGAGATCATAAAGAAGGGAGTAGCAACATAAGCAAGGAAAGACATAGGAAGATCATAAGGTTAAACAAATATAGCCAGAGACAAGCAAACCTAGATTTCCACAAGATGGTAAAAGATCACCATCTGCATATAAACTGAATTTGGCATAACGCATCAACAGTAAGTTTCATATATCAAACAAGTTTGGACAGACGTTTTAGCCCCTATCATATGGTGGACACACATATGCATGCATGTATGTATATATGTGTATATACACATCAATACAGACAAACTATATATACACATGTAAATATACACGCATGCTTTAGTGCACGTATGTATTTTTCTATTTTTAATTGCAAAACTTAGTGTTAATATTTTATTCTCCAAGCTGGCTTACGACAAGCAAAGCTGCTGCTCAATCTATGCTGCATAATGCTTCCTCTGCAAACTCAAAAAGCCTAAATCCTACCAATGACTTTTCAACAACTAGACTACTACGCAGGTGTGTGGAAAGGGTGCCACATTCAGCCAAGCAACTGCATTGAGAAGAGCTCATTAAATATTAAAACATTTTATTCACTTACCTAATAGACTGACCAGAATTTTAAACTGAGAAACAACATGAATCTGAAAGAAAGCATTCTATTAGTGAACTCCATTCATAAATAAACCTCTGAAGAGGCTTGATTATAGATAGTCTAAGAAAATGCATCTTACGATACTCTCAAAATAATGAAAACAGCAAGGCAGCTATCTATGCACAACCTTCCTCCAGCTATTGCAACCCCTTTCACTCACATTCAGTTTTTGCAAGCTAGAACACAGAGCTTGCAACCTAAGCTGGTAAAAAATGCCGTATGTGGTATGTTACTAGTACAGAAGTACTTCTAAAGGATATGCAGAATGTTGCTGAAAGAAGCTGCATAATCTTTGAGGTAAGTGCTTTCCTAAGTATCAATATAATCAATGAGCGAAAGTTCTCCAAAGAAAATGAAACAGTAGTAAGACTGGCAGTAGGTAATCAGTTACTTTAGTTCTAAATTCCAAATAAGAGGAATTACATTCACATCCCTATAGCACTTTATCCAAGAGGCAAATTATATATTAGAGTCTGTTGGTGTTATTACCATAATTTTTACAAATATTCTCAGTCAGAGCAGCTAAAGATTTACTGCTAACAATAGCATTTCCATAAAACCCAAAAATAAACTTCTAAGTTCCAGTTCTTTGCTTTCTGCTTTAGCCACCAAACCAAGCTTATTCCTGTTATGGGAAGAGTGGGCAAAAACACCAGGCTGTGCCACCTCTAGAAGAACCTACAGTTGTAGGGAATTTTTTTGCTAAGCTTAGCAGAGACTCCAGAAGTACATTCAATATTTAATTTCCTGGCTGAAAACACTGGAAAACTGTCCCCACATCAAAAAGATAGTATTTCCTACCTGCTGAATCTTTTTTGAGAAGTTCTTGTTGGATTTCTCTAGTGTCACTTCAAATCTATTGCAACCTACCAGAAAGATTTGAGAGAGTATGTAAACTGAAGTTGCCCTTAAATTTACTGCATGTATCTCACACTACATAGATTACAAAAAATTATGAGAGCAAGATGGGCTACTTAACACTAGAAGAATGGCTCTTCTAACTTATCTGTGCTATCTTTTACTTAATAGCTAAACGCATCAGGTCTTCTATATAGTCAGGTGAAAATGTAAATTACACTTCTTGTACCCATCCTAGGGCCTCATCAATAGTTACATTTTTGCCTTGCTGGTATTTTAGATTATAAGAATTATATTCAAGCATTCTGAAACCCGGAGATACAAAAATACCCATAAAGACTTTATCCACACCAATCAAATATCAGCAATTTAAATTGCTAGGGAGCACATCACTGCAAAGTAGACAAGGAATAAACACTACACCACAAGGGTTTAAAAGGAGTTTTAGGGATAAAGACTTACAGACACTTTCTGATGACATAACCTCTCCTGGCATTGATGCAAAAAAGGGGGAAAAATTTACCATGTGAGATAAGACACTAGCAACTCAAGACTAGCATGTTCTGTTTGGAATAGACGGCCTACAAGGTTCAGAAAAAAGCAGGCTAAATTCAGTCTCTAGAATCCAAGTAGCTACAACTGTTGATGTTTGTTTCTTTCTTTCCTGTCACACACTACACGACATTACCGTGTTCAATAACATCAGTTTCTACATAATAGCAGATAACATAAAGTACAAATCTGTTTAGTGAAAATCAATTTTAACTAAACTGAAAATAGAATAGTTCTATTTGTGGCATCTCTAGAATAGACTATGAACACTTATGACTGTCAAAGAGGCACAAAGAAGAGTGAATACATGACAGAACTACTTTGGAGGGATCCCTCTTCCCCAGCCCCTGATGCTCATGGACCCACCAAAAAAAGTTGCTCTTTCACTAATCCAGTCCATTAACAGAAAACATCAAACCTCAGGCAACTTGCACACTGCACTGTTTTTGAACATGCCTGTGCACTGTATTCACAAAAATTACACTAACTTACTGTAAATTTAAACATACAGAGACCCCATATAAAACATACTTCAAAACAGAAAAACAGACTAATACTACTTGCTATCTTTCTTGCACATCTGATAAATGGTATCTACACTTTCACCAAAGATCACACATAAATATTCATTAAACTCTATGTATGAAAAAAATTAGCAATTGAACATACTTTTGTTAACATTACTACAACCTCTTAAGGGGCAGGAGGTAAAAATAACATAATCAACTTTTTGTGCTATTCTTAAAATCAACTTACCTATGTCTTTCTTGATCCTGTAAAGCAGAAGATGCCCTTGTTTGGTACCAACAAGGAGCCATTCCTCTACAAAGACAGGGGAGAAAAGAGATTGATTAGTTTCAACAAAGACTGCCCTTCCCAGCCAAGTTACACTTATCTTCTGATAAGTGGAAACGTTTCAAAAGCCAGAATACTTTCTGTGGCGACTACACACATCTCCTATCATCTTTCTGTGGAAATGCTCAGAAGTAGCTTTCATTTTCAGAAGTGGATGGCTGAAGATCAAGCAGCAAAACTAAGAGTACAGCCTATGCATCATGTTCCACTTGTTTATACCAAGGTAAAGAAGCAAACCATCGCATCTTGTGTGCAATCAAAAGAGGCAATGAACTATTCTTCAGCCACTACTATCTCCCACAGAGGAAAACTACTACATAATAGGAAGAATTGCCAGGAAGAAAATCGAGGAGTTCTATATGGGTTTGTGTGTTGGGTTGGGTTTTTTTTACATAGTCAAGTCTATATTAGAACTCTCTGAAATAGTCAGATATGCCTGGAAGGACAGTGGCAGCTTTGCTTAAGTGGCATTTTAATTGCTTGGACAACCAACAGTCATTCAAGATTTACAAAAGAGAACCTTTTTATATAAAAACTCTATGGCACAGTTTCAGACTCTTCCTATTTGCAGCATTTATAGCATACAAAAGGCACAGAATCTTTACAAGGTCACAAAACATGACTGAAATTCATTCTCCTCGCTGAAGATCACACAGGAAAGAAGCATACACAAATATTTCTTTCTACATCTAGTACTCTTTCATCACCAAAAATACTTGTATTTTAATAAAAGACTATTAGGTAGAAGAGTTATAGAGACAGAATCACACCTCTTTTTAGACAACCATATTGCCATCAGCCAGTGAGTTTAGGCTTTTTTTCTACTTCAGCAAAATAAAATGCTTTCAAAGAGATAAAAGCCTCAACGCAGGGATGAACTACCTTCACATCTTCTCTACTACATAACTCCAGCATAAACAACCCATGTTTAAACGTGGTACTACTATCCGGGTTATAATTTTCTTAAAACAGATTAAAGAGGTCACAAATCCACAGCATTTGGAGTTTTTTTTTTTTTTCATTACCGATTTTGTGCTACGGTAGCGTATCTGATGGGAACTGCTCAAGCAGTCTGAAAAGCATTATCAAGCCTTATCATCACAGCAGCCGGTACAATCACCTGACCAAAATCTCGACTCTTAACTATGCCCAAAATATATAACCTACGTTTATATGCCACTAACACATGCAAACAGATTCTAAACCTAAGACGTGAACGCACCCCCGGCCTTCCAAGGTAATTTCTAGTCAAAACCCAGGGAAGGCTTTTTAGCAAGCAACC